TGCTGGTACATTCATCATTCATCATCTCATCAGCTATGTTTCATCAGCATTTTGGATAGCAAAACAAATGGAGCTTTTACAGCAGTATCTTTAAAAAAGTTAAAAAGTTATATAGTACTTACCACATTAAAGTTGATATGAGAAGACCAACACCTACACAATCAATGAACACAACCCAAAGGAGCAGCTTTATTGTCTCAAAAAATCCCATGTCCAACACAAAGCCGAATCCTATAGTGGACACTGAAAGAAAGATTTACAATTCATTCAGGCACTTTACAAAGTGAGGGACATGGGGCATAGTCGGGGGATAGTCACTGCCTTCCAGATGCTCACAGTCCACTAGGGAAGACAGAAATGTAAACAAACCACCAAAGATATGTTACATGTGATTAATGGGGAAATGCATACTAACATGAAGCACAAAATGGCCACTAAGGTACCTTAAGTTTACTTATCTGTCTGTGGCTTACTTACCAAGGTAGCACCAAGGTAGCACCAGCATCTAGAGCAGCAGCAGTACTAAAAAGGCCCTCACATATTTTAAGTAGAATTAAAGGTGGAAAAAAACTTCCACACTTCAACACCCTACAAATCGTTATGGTCCTTTAACATGATAAAAGTAGTTCTCAAAGGTCCTCCCTGGTGGTGCAGCGGGTTAAAGCACAGCACTAAGTAGCTAAAGCCACTTCAACATCAGTTCAATCCCCCACCCTGGAGGTAACCCACTCTGCGCGGCAGACCTCTCCTGACCTGCCTGCTGCTCCCCTCAGCAGGGTACTTCACCAGTTGGCCTGTTCTGCTCCCCACTCTGTCTCTGGTGAATCCTCTCACCACCCCTCACCTCTTGCCTGTACCTCAGTTCTGTATGCATAAATAAATACACCTTAAAAAAAAAAAAAAAAAAAAGGTTCTCGGGCCCTCCCTGGTGGCGCAGCGGGTTAAAGCACTGCACTAAGAAGCTAAGGCCATTCCGCATAAGTTCAATCCCCGCCTGCCCCGGAGATGACCACATGGTGTTGCAGACCTCTCCTGACCCGCCCGCTGTTCCCCTCAGCAGTGTACTTCGTTGATCTGCCTGTTCTGCTCCCCACTCTGTCTCTGGTGAAGCCTCTCGCCGCCCCTGGGCCTCTGGCCTGTACCCCAGCTCTGTATGCACAAATAAATAAAACTTAAAAAAAAAAAAGTTCTCAAGGTCTAAAAAAAAAGTTCTCAAGGTCTAATCAATACTTTAAAACTCTCACTTTGAATATACATAACTCTGAAGTGCAATTTCTAATCCTGATACTCCTTTTCATTTCTATATTACTTATTATAAAAGATAAGCTGTAACTCTATCCTCTGCTTTTCAAAGTCCCGAGGTAACAGGTTACTTGGGCATCTGCCTAGGATTTTTCAACCAGGAAGAATGCAACCCTTCTTTTCTATAACATTTTTGAAGTGCCAGAAGAGCAGCTGCAGCTTCAAATATTCCCAAATTCTGATCTACAACATATTTATAACAAAAGACCCCCAAGATGATAAGTCCATTCTGAAGCATTCAATTTGCCTGACTCCATGCCAAATAAACTAACACTTACCACAGAGCCAAATACTTAGTAAGACCAAGAAAGCAGGGTCATCTCTGGCCCACTGGTCCTTTGTCTGTTTCCGATAATGAAAATTTCTATAAACTCTCTGCGGGGAAGTGAACAGGTAGAGCATCTGCCAAGCAGCAAACTCAAAGTCCATCTGCCGAAAACGAAAAAGCCTTCTCAGGTATTTGTAGCGTTTTGCTCCAGCTGTGTGTCTTGCTGCATCTCTGGAATTCAATACTCCATTCCCGTGCCCTAGGGAAGTACTTGGCAACATCTCCCTGGATAGAAGAAAAAAATAATTCTTTTACAATTAATCTTAAGAAACCACTGGCTACTTGTACCCCACTTCTGAACCCACCTTCCATTTCCTCTCCAATCCTTGAGAGGAGTAGGGAATAAAAGCAAACGGAATTGGTTCTGAGACTTATTTCAGGGCTTCACAACTGCTTTTTGTACTCCAGGGAAAGAAACCATCATAATACTTAAAACAGGACCCCCGTGTTTCCTACACATCTTCCTCAATCCTCAGCACTCCCAGGTAAGTTATCCAAGGGAGATTTGACGAACAGGAACACTAAGAGGTGAAGTGACCTCCCCCCCCCCAGAGTACTGAAACAGTGATGGAGTCAAAATTGGAACCCAGGTACTATGGCTCAAAACTCTGTTCTTTAACCATCAAGCCTTTAACGAAAAGCCTTTGCTTAAGCCCACAGAAACCCTTACCTAGGAGGTAAAATAAACAGCTTATTCACACAGGTGCATCAATCGGAGAGTAACAACAACCAACTCATACAAAAACAAAGCAAAACTAAAATTCCTAGTGTTCTTACTCCCAAAGTATTTCAGCTGGGAGAACAGCAGTGTGAAAAGTCTAGCCCAACAATTCTGAAGTCAGATGAACGCAGGTCAGGGCCCGAACCCCACGACTCGGTAAGTCTAGTCTCCAGCTAAATTCCTCGGCCTCTGAAATGCAGCCTGTCGGGGTTTGAGGGATGGGATCCCAGATTTAGCAGATAAAGACAGAGGACGCCCAATTACATTTGCAGCTCAATACAAGAAAAAATTAATGGGGCGTCTCTAATACATTATTGGTTGTTTGTCTGAAATACAATTACAACTGGGTGCCCTTCATTTTTATCTAGCTACCTTCCCGCAGGCTGAGGAGCGGATCTGGGCACGGTCATTCCAGGGCTCAGGGACGAGAGCCGCGAGTTGCCAAAGGAAACAGCCACAGGCACGAGCCCGAGCAGTACGCGGTCAGAGTGGTTCTTAGGCCTCACCTGAAGCCCCGGGGCAGCCTCCACCCGGGTCAAAACAGCCCGCCACCTCAGCTAACAACCAAGCCCAGCAGCCGCCGGGCCAACTTCCCTTTCCGCGATGGAGCAGGCGCTTGGGGAGTGACGTTTCCCGCGCGCCCACTTCCGCCCCGCGCCCTGCCTCTCGGACTCCGTCGTAGCCCACGGGCCCGCCGGAAGTTGTTGCTACCATCTTCCGGTTCCGCCTGTGCAGCGGTGGTTTTCTCCCGGCGGGGTTGCGGTGGTTGTTGGGGAAGCGGGTCGGGGCTGCGACTGGGGCGCAGTCATGCCCCGGTATTACGAGGACAAACCAGAGGAAGGCGCGTGCGCGGGTGTGAAGGAGGACCTGGGGGCATGTCTGCTGCAGTCGGACTGTGTACTGCAGGTAGCGCGGCTGGGTGCCAGGGTGATGCTGACGCCTGAAATGGGGAGGCAGGGCCGGCGAAGGCGTCCGGGTTCGATCTGCAGTGGCGGTCCACAGACGTGACTCGGAGTTAGACGTCCGGGACGTAGATCACTGCTCCGATTTGCATCGCTTGGGCCAAGGCTCAGTTCCCTGTTGTGGTAAATTAGGCTACCGAGACACCCGCTTAGGTTTTTATGAAGATCAAACCCTTTCGGTTCAGTTAGCCTTGAATGCTGGTACTCTGCTAGGTTCTGGACACACAAAAAAAGAATGACATTTCTTGCTCTCTAGAAAATGAGAATCTGGAGTAAAACATTGAGATGTAGTGTGTTGACTACTAATTTCTCCTTCCCTTTGTTCAGTACTGTATTTACCCTGTGTTTAATTTGTTTCTGGGTTGCAGTTCTATACATTTTCCGCTAATTTATAAATGAAGTGGCTCCCTATTTTATGTCTTGCCTACCCTCTCCGTCACTACAGCCACAGGTCTTTGGAATCAGCATGAATGCAGTGAGATTCAAAGTTGCTGGTGATCTGATCCTGGCTAGAGCCCAATTGAAGCACAAGTACCTTCTCCACTTATAAAGGCCTGATAAGCAGGCATTCAATTCTGCAATTGTTTTTGCATCTGGAACTGTTACATCAGAAAGTTGCTTATATTTCTAAGAAAAGACAACTACAACTGTCCCTAAATGGACATCCACCAGAATATCCTGTACCTTGTTCTGCTGATTCACGGTTTACATTTGGTTCACTGACTTCAGCGGCAGCTGGACTGGTCTCCTAGAGTCTACTAAAATTTCAAAGTTATTATATATTTAAAAGGTTATCTAGTCCAACTTCCTTACGCACTTGAGACAAATGCTATCTACAAGCTCCCCTGTCTGAGGCTGTTTCTAGTCTGTGGCTTCATTGGTGCATATATTCAGCCAGCTGCTGGTAAATGTCTGTGAAGTAGCCCCTACCGCCGACTGTAGATACAAAATGAATTAGTTCTTGTCGCTGTCTACAAAGGCTTAGTCTGCTGGTGTCTTAGAGTCTCAGATAACGCTTGATCCTGGAAATTAACTCAGGTTGAAATGGACCAAGTCATTAAAAAGTGGAAAGTCGCATTTTTTTCCTTTGTAGATGTGAGGTGTGTTTACCTACCCACAACCCACTCTGACAGAGATTGTCTCTGTCACTGAGAAAGAACCCCTCCCCAATACATACTTAAGTGAAATAAAGTTTTCACCACCAACAAACTCTTTAAGCTAACAACTCTCTAGGTTAATGATACAGAATCCATTGTGAAGAGGTCACAAGGATAATAGCCATGAGTTCAAGGGCTGTATTGAAAAGAAAAGAAAGGACCCAACCCTTTAATTGTGCAAACTGCTTAAATAGAGAGCTTTCACCTGTTTCTGGAGAGCAGCAGACAGCCCTTGTCCCTGTGGTGGCTGTGGGGAGAAGCTGAAATAGCTTGTGCAGTCAGGGAGATGTGGGGGGGTGGGGGGCGGAGGAGCCAGCGCCTTTGAGGCTTGTAAAATTGGGACATGAGAAGGCTCGAGGGGAAGGTTCCATTTGTGAAGACCCGTATGTGTCAGAATAAGCATAGATTTTGTCTTTCAGCATCAGGGAAGCTGGAGAGGAGAGGAGCAATCTAGAGGGTGAAGTACACAGTAGGACTAGAAAAGAAACTGCAAGAGGAGGGAACTCTTGGCAGGGACAGTAAGTTGCTGTTTTGCAATGGTTGATTTACTTAGCAAAAGTTTGAGCACTAAGCTAACTCAGAGGACATACAGATGAATGGAATACATTCACTTCTGTGTAAACATTAAATCTCTGGGAAGCTAGACAGCTGTGGGCAGAGATAGACTAGGGCATATGGCACAGACTTCACCCTCTCTGCACTGAGTATGTGGCTTTATGGGTGCCGAATTTGATCAGCTGGTAATCTAATGGTAGTAAACAGTCACTTCAGTGGAAGTGCACTTAGTTTACGTTAAATTCATCATGAATGGTGACTTCAACTGGTGTGTGAAAGGCCAGTATTGAGCTGACACATTGAGTATTGGTGGTGTAAGGCAATAGCCTTGCATACCTGGGATCACTGGTCTCAACACCACATCCAGTTAGAGACTCTGAAGACAGAGGGAGATTCCTCCGAGGTCTGTGCCTGCTCTGTATGGCCATCTCCCTGTAAGATTTTTTCATTCCATAGAAGTTAGTCTAATTTTCCAGTAGATGGATGCTCCTTACTAATCTTTAACTCATCTGAAAACTGCTGGGCCTCACAGTGGGAATTCAACATATTTAGATGTATGGGCTTTGATGAGACATGGGAAACTATTCATGGCTCAGAGATCTGTTCATTAATGAATAATGATTAGGATGTAAACTCAAGTGGAGCTGGAGAGAAACAAAGATCTAAAAGCATCTCTTACGATAAGTGGTCTGAGGATTTTATGGCTCCAGGGAGGTCAAAAAGGTTGAAACTACGTCTAAGGAACCTCATTCATCATGTTAGCTTCTTTGCATCTCTCTTAACAGCTTCCAGACATGCTGATTTCATCAGGATATAGGGGGAGGGAGACAGAGAGCTTTAAAAGTACAGACTTCACTGCTCCCGTCTCCCTCAAATAAATTAAAAAGTATTTCATCGGTCTTGGCAAAAACAAAACAAAAAAACCTTGAGAGTGAATTAGCTAGAATATATATTCAGGTACATAGTAGAGACACTTAGCAGAACAGGCAGACTGACGAAGTACATTGCTGAGGGGAGCAGCGGGCGGTCAGGAGAGGTCTGCCACGCCATGTGGTCTCCTCCGGGGTAGGCGGGAATCGAACTCATGCGGAAGTGGCTTTAGCTTCCTAGTGCTGTGCTTTAACCCGCTGTGCCACGAGGGAGGGCCTTAACTGCTCTTTCTTTGGTTTAGTGTAATTACATAGACCTTTCCAGTAGGGGGTTAGCGAATGGTTTGAAAACTTGTAAAAAAGATGACGTCTCAGTTTCAGGAAGCATCAGTTTATAAATGTATATGACCTGGCCCTCCCTGGTGGCGCAGCGGGTTAAAGCACAGTACTGAGAAGCTAAAGCCACTTCAGCTTAAGTTTGATCCCCACCTACCCCGGAGGTGATCCACATGGCCCGGCAGACCTCTCCTGACCGGCCCGCTGCTCCCCTCAGCAGTGTACTTCATCAGTTGGCCTGTTCTGCTCCCCACTCTGTCTGGTGAATCATCTCACTGTCCCTGCACCTCGGACCTGTACTGTTCTGTATGCAAATCAATAAATCTTCAAAAAAATTATATAAAAAAAATGTATGACCATAGTCTTACATAGTTTTGGTCTTTCGTCAGCAGCCTTTCATTACAGTTTGAGGGAGGAACCTAACAGTGCAATGAGGCTTGCTGCTCTCTCCACTGTGGACGATCACTCATGTAGATGACAATTGAAATCGAGGACTCAAGTAGGTATAGATTAGAAAATGGGCAAGATTCCTAGGGATTAGGAATATTATAGGATGATACCCTGTAGCTTTTTTTCACAGTAAACACCAGGGGAGTGTGTGTGGAACTTGCAAAAGAAAGTTTGCGAGGAGTGGTTGCAGTGGTGAGGTTGGTGTCAAAATTTGCTTGAAGGGAAATTCCTGATAATAAAGAGCAGCTGCCATGTGAGCTACATTTTTCCTGGTGCAGGGCGGTCCCAGATGTTTCTATTTAAACAGGTTCTATATTCTACTTCTTAACATCTATCTAGAGTGTTTAATTCTGAGCACTAGAAATGCTCAGATTTGAGGGCACTTATTCTGGCTTGTTTGAGCTTTTAATGTCAACACTGAACAGGTCATTTTTATTCTCAAGACAAAATTGTCTGACTTTACATTGTATCTCCCCCAGAAGAGGAAGATTTTGTGATCTTCCTTTATATAGTCAAGCCCTGCATGAGGCTAGTGTTTATAACTGTATTCTTTTTTAGACTTTCATCATACTATTAGTTAGCATTTTTACGGAGTAACTTCTTTCCCACCAGGAAAAAATTGCCCTGGCTGACAGGAATACCTAGTGTCTATTCCTTAACCTCCCATGAAACTTCTCAAAGACCATTCTGAATATGTGTGTATCTGTGTACCCTTATTTATATAGATATTTATTTTAAATTAGTCCTTCGTGAAGATTTAATTACTAGACAAATCAGGTAGTGTTTTAATTGGAGAAATTTGGCTATAACTAAATTTTAATCTTGCCTCTTTGAGTTGTGAAATATACTTTCTATAGGTACTTCCATGCATCCAATGTATTCTTAGAGCCTTTTTGTTAAATGTGTGGCAGTTATATGTTAAACATATTTTAAGACAGTAAAGTTAGTTATAGAAATTTTATTCAGTATTAATCATGAAAGGAAAACATAAAATTTTGTTACTTACCTAGTTTTGCAGCTGTTATGTTACATCTGATTTTTAATGGCTGTTTGTAAAAAGTCTTGCTAAGAAACAGAAGAATTTCTCCTATGAAAGTTCTTACAGCAGTGACCTACCTTGATGGCTGAAAGGAATTTTTTTAAATTTTATTTTTATATCATTGTTCATTCTTATTTAATGTTTGATTTCTCCCCTCAGGTGCAGTCCTCATAAAACGCCCACCACCAAATCACCCATAAACTGTCACCACAGTCTCTTGTGCTCTCCCCTCCCCTGTGGTATGTCTCAGTTCCATAGTTTGCCCAC